CTTATCACTTCTCATCCTCTGCACAACCTGGTGGGTGAGGTCAGGGACTCGGTCCCACTTTGCACACTGAGAAACTGAGGCCATTATGGGTGGCTGGGGCAAAGCAGCTCACAGTAGCAGGTGTAGGGGTGGCAGGAGGGAGGAGACTGAAGACTGTTTTGCTGCTGCTGTGTTCCCACTGGGCCTTGAGCACATGGAGTGGCCTGTGGAGTGGGGCTTAAGGCATAGTTTTGGGATCCTGTGAACTGGGGCCCCTCCTCACATTGGGCAAGACCTAAGGGAGAAGCCATAGGTCTTCACAGGAGGAGGGTGGGGTTCACACCAGCTCTGCCCTAAAGTGCTTTGGGGCCCAGTTACTGATCTTGAAAATCTGGACACAACAGTATTAGTGATACCTGCAGCCTGGGGGCAGGTGCGGGCCAGTGCTCACCTGGAGCTGCTTGGGCTTGTTGTCACTGTTATTCCAAGGGACACTCATGGGCTTCGTTAGAGGCCACAGCATCCTCTGCTCCAACTGATCTCCTTTGAGGGTGTTCAGGGCACTGCACGGGGGAACCTCTGCAGACTGGAGGGCTGGGCTTTAGAACTTGTCTTTCCAGGAGTGTGGATGTGATCCGAGGGTCGGGCACCCTTGGCAGAGGGAGGCAGGACTGAGAGCAGGAGGGTGTAGAGTGGGTGGGAGATTCTTCCTGTATGTCTGGGGGGACCCAGATGGCCTCAGCCTTCGAATGCGAGGCTTTGTCATGACTGAGGGAGCCGGCCAAGGGGATCCTCCGGAGGGGGTGCTCCAGAGTGCCCAGATACTGCTGCCCCTGGCCCGGCTTGGCCCGCTGCACTTGAGAGACCCCTCCCTTTGCTCTGCTGGGCCCCACTTCTGGGTTTGCATCCTGCTCTCCAGCTTTCGCTCTTGGGCAATTCCTTCAATTCTCTGCGCCTGCTTCCTCATCTGCAGAATGGAGATGATAATGGCATACGGTTAAGCCGTGGAATGGTTGGCAGGATTCAATGCTTGTATGAAATACACGGGAACTATTTTGATGATTGTTCTGGGATAGTCCAGGTTTCCCGTGTGCCATCCTGGCCATCTCCCCAGCCCACACTGTGGCCCTGCCTGTCCCACCCTGTCCAGTGGGCTTTGCTGGATCAAGGTGAGGGGTCAGCCAGCTTGCAGGAGACACCTTCATTCACAGAGGCCTGCGGGGGGCGCCCAGGAGAGGTGCAGCAGGTGAGAGGGGTCCAGCCAGGCCAAGGGGCTCACAGGGGCCCAGCTGCCCTCAGCACTTTGGGTTTCCTCTGGGCTTTGCTTCTCGGCTGCCCCCTCCCCTGCCCGCCCCCCAGCAGGTATGGAGACAGCTGCCCCTCCATGGGCTCGGGCCTGCCATAATCCACTGGCACGTGGTGCTCCTGCCCCCGCACTCGTGCTGCAGCCTGTCCTCCCACGCAGGCTGCCTGCTTCCTTGAGTCTGCGGGGACAGGCATGGGGACCCATGCTCAGGGACCCTCGTGGGAGAGGCCTGGGGGTTAGGGAGCTGGCTCAGGGCTGGGGACCGCTGACTGTGATCCCCATGAGAACAGGTTCTCCTCTAATTCATCACCATATCCCTGGGCTTGAGCCACCCAGCAAACATTTACTGAGCACCTAGTGTGTGCCAGGGATGGGGCAGGGATCCAGCCATGGCCAGGACAGACAGTGCCCTCCTCTTCTCAGAGTCTACGGTGGGGAGTGAGACAGTAGCGGGGATATGCATCCCCTGACCCAGAGAATTTCAGGTAGCAAAGAGCTCTAGGAAATCAAATGAAGGAGGGCCAGGTGGTGGTGAGGGGGTCGGGGTGGGGTCTGGGGCTAGGGTGGTCTGGGAGGGCAGCCCCCAAGAGGTGACTCCTGCGAGAGTCCTGGATAGCAGGGAGGAGCCAGGTGTGGGACAGACAGGGAAGAACCCTGGGGCAGAGGCCTGAGGTGGAAGCCAGGAAGCCTGGTGAGGCAGGGAATTTGGATTCTCTTCTGATGCCAGGGAGGGTTCTGAGCAGGGAATGACGCGATCAGATTTGTTAAAAGATCAGTTCTCAGTTAATACTAGCTGAGTGAATAGAGGAAGAAACAAGCACATTCCGGGAGGGCCAGGGATCCCAGGCCAGGCGAGACTGGCTGGGCCACTAGGCTCTAAGCCCATGGGGGTAAGAGGCCCATACCTGGCTCTGTGCCCTCCTCCTGGCCAGGGATGAGGGCAGCAGACAGGGTTTTGAGGTCACCACTCTTCTCAGACGGCCCCTTTGAGCTGGGGCTGCCTGTGCCTCAGTTTCCTCACTAGCCCTGGACTGCTGGTTACCCCCTGCACTCGTGGGTGCCTCCTGGGCTCCCTGGTTGGCCCCTGGGCCCCCCACCCAGGTCATAATGTTATTGTTTGATTTCCCGCTTCCTGCCCCCAAACCCACACCCCCACTCTCAAGCACATACACTTCCCCTTCCGAACTGATACTGACTCGCCTTCCTGTCCAGAAGCCCCATGGGAAGGCAGGCTCCCGGCAGGCCCTGTAGATGGAGGTCCAGGAGAGAGGGAGGCAGGAGGCATGGGGCAGGTGGGTGTTCTTCCTGCAGGAAGGGAACATGGAGGTTGGGACACGTGGAGACGCCCACCATGGCGGGTGGGCTCTCTGGGGGTCAGGAGGGTCCCCTGTCCAGTCTGGAGGCTGAGCAGGGCTGTGGGAGCTGATGGTGGCAGGGGAGAGGCCAGGGTGGTCTGCACACATAGGGTGACACAGTGAACAGGGCCACTCATGGAACACACAGCCCACTGGGGGAGGTGAGTGCTAACCAGATGGCCGTGCTCCAGAAGCCAGGGCTGCAAACGGAGGTCAGTGCTCTGGGGGAAGGGGCCCCTCCCTGGACATCCAGGGCAGGAATGCTTCCTGCTGGAGCTGGCGTTAACCAGGGCAGAGGTTCTTTCTCTACCTCCACACTGGCGACATTCGGGGCCAGGTCATTCTGTGGTGTGGGGTTGTCCTGTGCATTGTAGGATGTTTAGCAGCGTCCCTGGGCTCAGCCCACTAGATCCCAGTAGTACCAGTTCCTCGGCTTGTGAGAACCCAAAATGGCTCCAGACATGGTCAAATGTCCCCGGGGTGAGGTACAGTCACCCCCAGTTGAGAGCCACTGGGAAAGGGGATCAGAGTATTCCTGGCAGAGAGAACCACCTGTGCGAAGGCCTGGTGGCAGAAGGGTGCCTGGGGTTGAGTATGGTTGGGAGCAGTGAATGGGGAGTACGGGCAGTGGGGGTCCTGTCGGTCACTGTAAGGACCTGGTCATTTCCTCCGACTAAAGGGGGCCTGCCTGCAATGGGCTGGTACAGGTGAACGGGGGGCCCGTTGAAAGAGATGGCATGGACCCTAGAGGTGGTAAGAAGGCGGTAGACTTGGGGGATACCATCTCCTCCTGCGAGTGGTATCAGAGTGGCACAGACAGCAGGGCAGTCCTCGGGAGTCTGCAGTTTTCCCAAGACCTGGTCCCTCAACAGACTGGGCGTTGACTTAGCTACCTTTGACCTTCAGGCAAACCCAGCCTCTGGGGGAGACTCCCTGGTTAGGTAAGAACCATTTCTATTTAGGGATGTTATCGCTCAAGGACGCACAGGTTTGATCCTGTTTGGGGAGAGAACCTTATCCTTCCATTCCTGTCTACCTGCATTGATGTCAATCTTCTCAAAAAAAAAAAAAGTATTAGACGCCTTGTTCTGGCTGAGTGCGGGCTGCGTGCCCGGCCCTGTGCAGGGTGTGGCATGGGCATGTCATCATCCTCTTGGCCTCCTGGGTGTAGTTACTATTATTTATTTGGCCTGTGTATTAGACGCCTTGTTCTGGCTGAGTGCGGGCTGCGTGCCCGGCCCTGTGCAGGGTGTGACATGGGCATGTCATCATCCTCTTGGCCTCCTGGGTGTAGTTACTATTATTTATTTGGCCTGTTTTTGGCAAGGCAGCAGAAATAAGAAAGGGCAGAGTCTTTGGACCCTTGGGGAGCCTGCTAGCCTCAGCACACAGGGATAGTGACCACAACAAAGCCCTAATCTCAGTGGCTGTGTTTGCCCTGAGCAGCCCCATGCACAGATGGGAAGGGTGAGGCTTGGCGAGGTGGAGCTTACGTGGTATCGGAGCTTATGTAGCTCAGAGGTGGTGGTCCCAGTCCTGCCACCTCCCTGCAGCTCGCCTGCCCCACCTAGTTTAGCATCAGCGGCACCGGTCCCTTATGTTCCCAATGTGGAGTCCCACACGTGTAGTGACTGGCGTTTTGCAGTATCAGGCCATGTACAGTCTGGCTCCTGCACTAGAGGCTGAGCTCTGTGAGGGCAGGAGCCGTCTGCCCCACTGTCCCCTGCCCTCCCCAGAGCTTGCCCTTCTGGGACTCTTCCCTTTTGCTTGCTGGCTTGGCCTCAGTCCGAGCCACACAGCAGCACTGATGCCCAGCTTCCCTCTCGGGTGGCATGTTGCAGACCAGGGGTCTCCCCAGCCAACTGCAGTTCCCTGTGGCAAAGGCTGTTGTATGCTGCACCCTCTCACAGGTATCCCGGAAAGACTGGGTTGTTCTGTAGGCGCTGATGTCATTTCCCTGCTTCCAAATCTCTCATCTTGGCGTCAGGAAGCCTAGTGGCACCAGGCTTCCAGAATGTGCACCTTACACAGCAGGGCCAGAACAGTGCCTGGCCCTCTTTCAGCTCTGCCGCAGCTGTGGCAGGTGCCCATCCCGTCACCCCTCCCCCCCGCCTCATCTTGGGCTCTGCAGCTGAGCAAGAGTGACTGCCTGTCTGCTAGCAGAAGCACTCAGGGTATCAGAGGTAGTAAAGGGACGCAGACTGCAGTGAGCACTGGTGAGCCAAGAGAAACAGTGAGAACCGACCAGCACGTTTTTCCTAGGATGATGCCTAGGAACTACAGACCCCACGGAAGTGAGCAGTCGAGGTCCCCAGCGGAGCCCTGCATTTACCTCATCTTGCTTTGTCTTTCAGGACTCTCGTGTCCAGCCTGAGTTCCAGCCTCATTGAGCCAGCCGCCCCTGAGAGCTTCCTGCCCAGGAAGCCCCCCAAGCACTGACCATGTCTATAATGGACCACAGCCCCACCACGGGTGTGGTCACAGTCATCGTCATCCTCATTGCCATTGCTGCCCTGGGGGCCCTGATCCTGGGCTGCTGGTGCTACCTGCGGCTGCAGCGCATCAGCCAGTCAGAGGACGAGGAGAGCATTGTGGGGGATGGCGAGACCAAGGAGCCCTTCCTCCTGGTGCAGTACTCGGCCAAGGGACCGTGCGTGGAGAGAAAGGCCAAGCTGATGACCCCTAATGGCCCAGAAGTCCACGGCTGACCCGGGATGCGAGGCTCCTGGTCCTGTGTGCAGCCAGCCAAGAGGGCTGGAAGGGATGAAACCACACAGACGTGCTGTTGTCTCAGAGGAAGGGTTAACACTTGCTAGCATGGCCTCGGCAGGCTCCATCATCGCATGCACTGGGTCCCAGGGCCCCGCTGTCCTGGGCTTCCCCTTGGCCTCCTGGGGGGCCGCCCATTGCAGGCAGTGGGTAGGCCTGACTTTGCTGGGGCTCACGGCCCCTCAGCGCTTTGTTACTTGAATGTTCAGCTGAGCCTGTTTTTGATGGAGCTACTACTGTAATGCGTGAACTAACAAACCTGTGAACTGTAAATAGGTCCCCAGAAGCATGTGCTTAAACGTCTTTGCTGATTTTTTAAAATATCCTGTGGAGCACATGGGACTGGTTTGATGACTGTGCTAATGATGAGCTGAGTCAAAACCATGGAGGGTCTTGGACTTGAAAGGTCTCTAACATGCGTCTACGTAAAGGGAGTGAGATGGCAGTTTTATGTCTCGCAGCTGACCAGTTGGGGCGCTTGGGTGATTTCTGCTTGGTTAGTAGTGGATGGAGAAGAACCATGCCCTCTCCCTTTGTCCAGGTAGATTCGGTTGTTAAATAGCAGTTCCTGTCAATAGTGGATTTACTGCAAGGAAGCTACCATACCTGCTTGGGAGCCAGTGAAGGACAAGTCCGGGCACAAGTCCCAAGGGCCAGCAGGTGTCCTTGTAGCAGAGCAGTTCCTTGCCCCTTTGGTCTTGAGCATGCTGAGTATCCCCCTCAGTGCAGGCTTTGCAGCTGGCCCAGGAAAGGGAAAAAAAGTTGTGTTTTCTGTTTTGTTTTTGTATTTAAATATTTTCTGCGCTGGGCAGGGGAGGGGACTGTTGAGGTTTTCTCTTTCCTGCTTCACAAGTTAGCTTCCTTTCCTCCCTGACTCCCACCCACCTGCTGGGCACTGGACTTCACTTTCTTCCGTGGGTCTCTGTAACTGTCTTGAGTCCCCTCACGCAGCTCTGAAGGCACTGAGTGCCAGTCGAAGGTCATTTCCTGTGTGCACGTTCATTCATACAGAAGCCACCAGATGCTCCCTGCCAGCCTGTGCTCATGCAGGGGGTGGGGGCAGGGTGGAGGAGAGCGTTTCAAGTTCAGGACTTCATTTTCACATAGGCGATGAGCTGGTGGCTCAGAGCCAGCGCCTTGGATGCTCCCTGCCAGCCTGTGCTCATGCAGGGGGTGGGGGCAGGGTGGAGGAGAGCATTTCAAGTTCAGGACTTCATTTTCACATAGGCGATGAGCTGGTGGCTCAGAGCCAGCGCCTTGGCAGCCTGCATTCCCACGGTATTCCTGTGTACACTTCAGTGAGCTCATTTTGACTTTGAATCCCACCGCTAAGCACATTCTAAACTATCATGATGAAAACGTGACTCATGTCAGCATCCTCAGTACAGAACCAGAGGCCACTGCTGGCTTTAGACCCCACTGAACTGCAGAGCTCTGGCCTCCTGGTCCGGCCGGAGGTGCCTCCTCCGAAAAGCATGTTAAATGAAACCACTTTCTAGAACCCTGAGGGGCAAGCTGTAGGGAACACTTTTTAGTAGCATACACCCAAATTGGGGGTCAAACATTAAGGAAGAGCTTGGGGTGGACAGAGGGGTAGCTAATTAGGCCATCTGAGCTGTGGTAGTGAAGCTACTGAGGAACCCTTAGAAAGCAGGAGCAGAAATACCTTTGGCCACTAATAGGATGGCCAAGCTCCAAGAGGTGATGGTGGCACAAGCTGAACAGCCCTGCAGGCTGGGGTGGGCAGGACTCAAGGTGGGGGCAGGGTCGGGGGATCTAGCTACTGAAATGAGGCCTAAGAAGGAGAAAAGAAGTTCTGAAGGTGCCAACGGAAAGGCTGGGGAGGAGGTTTGCTTCAGTGAGTTAGAAAAGGCTTGGGCATTTGACCCATCCCCCTCACATCTTAGAACTTCCAGGCTTTCTACCTCGACTCACCGCAGCCAGCAGATAAACCTAGGCTGTTTTTCCTTCAGGCCCACACCCGGTAATCCAGGAGCGGCTGGGATTTGCACCTTCAGTCTCTGAGCCTGACCCCTGGAACTGACTGTCACTCAATTGTCAGACTTGCCATGTGGTTTTTACCATGCCAGTGAAATTTTGGTTTTGAAATTATTAAACTTCACTTTCTCATCAGTTTCACTTTTGGAGCTATTCTTCCCCCACTCCCGGGTTGCCAGGGACGTCCTTGGAGCTTGAATTGGGCCCATCAGAGCATGGTGGCAGTGTGGGGAGAGGGTCAGAGGCACGGTGGCACTGGTGGGGGTCTCTGAGAGGAAAATGCAAACGACTGTAGAAGTAGTGAACATAATAGTGCTCACTGTTATTTGTCAATAGCTACTTTTTTTTAGCGTAGACACCAGAGCCACACACTCAAATGGCTTAGTAAGTTATGACCTCTCTTTGAATTCTTACTGAATAGCTCAACTGTTGCGTTCAAGTTTTCTGACCAGTTGAGAAATTAACCTTTCAGTCTTCATATTATCACAGATGCAATAGCAGGGGAGTAGGGAGGGGAACTCGTGACAGAGCCACTAAAACATGGACTAATTTTTCATACATATCTTCAAATGGACTGTGCTGTTTTTGTCTCAAAGCTACCAAGTTTGTGCAATAAGTGGAAGGGATGTCATCCCTGCTCAGTAAAACCTGATGACATTCAAGTTGATTTTCTAGACCACTGAGAAAATCTTTATTTACAATAAATTTCAATAAAATTTGCATAAATATATTCCCAATGTACAGTTTATATCTCTAATTTCTTCACGTCATTTAAAAAGTTAGTCTGTCCTATTTTCGTTACTCCTTTTGGATGCCAGCACAGAGCTGACATTAGAAGGTGGAGGGGTGCTGCCAGGTAACCGGGGGGCACCTGAGGGCTCAGGGGAGTCAGAGCGTGCCTCTCTCTGGGGAGCCAGCTTTTCAGCTTCGTCCTTTCCCTCCAGCTTCTGCTCCATGGTCGCCACCAGGATCTTAAGCCACGCATTCTCGGTGAGGAGGTTTTCCGAGGCATCGGCCAGCTCCTGCAGCTTGCGGGCCAGCTCCTCAAGCTCGCGGGTCTTGTGCATGTACAGGGTCTGAAGCTGCTCACTCTGCTGCTGGAGCAGACTGTGCTGCTGCTCCAGGGTCTGCTGCTGCCGTAGCAGCCGATGCTCATCTCTGCGGGCTCTGGAGAGCTGGGCCTCCACCTGCACTTGTGCTCTCTGAAGGCTGCTGATTTCCGCTCTCAGTTTCTGGATCTCTCTCTCCAAATGGGAGATGTGCCCCTGCTGTAAGACTGCCTCACTCTGAAGACATTCTTTGGTAGGAGGGTTAGCCAAGTTCTGGGGGGCAGAAGCAGGGTCTGAGTGATGCAAAATGAACCTCAGCAGATTTGGAAGGGTAATGGGGAGGTCGTCGGGGTATTTCACACTTAGGTCCTTTCTGGAGAGAAAGGGAAAGGAATCAAAGATGAAAGTCATACCAATAGGTTTAGTACAAAAGCAGACTCTACTGGATGTCAGGCCATCTACTTACCAAGAAAAAACATTCCGAGGATTTTACTTATTGAAAGTCAGTAAGGAAAATGTTGCCTGGGCAAGAAATTCTCTACAAAGCTGAGGATGTCCCATATGCTTGTTCTCTAAATTAAGGTGGCTTAACTTTTTTTTTTTTTTAATTTTATGTTATGTGTATTTTACTTATTTTATTGAAACATTATTTATCGGGTACAGAATAGGGTGGCTTATCTTAAATGTGTGTCTGTTCTTGAGGACAGAGCTCAGTTCTGTACACAACATTCCAAGAAAGATAAGAGCTCCCAGATGTTATGTGTATTTTACTTATTTTATTGAAACATTATTTATCGGGTACAGAATAGGGTGGCTTATCTTAAATGTGTGCCTGTTCTTGAGGACAGAGCTCAGTTCTGTACACAACATTCCAAGAAAGATAAGAGCTCCCAGGCCCAAGCTTAGAGCCAGCAACTCAGGGAACCAGGAGTGTGCTCTGAGAGGCCCAATGGCTGTGTCAGGAAGGCTGTCCTACGGTAGGACTGTCACCCATAGCACTCTTGTGGCCATTGATGGTGCTTGGAGAAATAGAAAAAACCTGAAATACACTCAGCCTGTTTCTTCAGCAAGCATCTATTACATATTATGTAAAGCAGAGGTCTTCAACTGGGTGATTGTACCCCTCAGGGGACATTTGGCTCCCGCGTGGTGAGGTGCTACTGGCAACCTGATCCTTGGAAAACAGACCAACCAAGGGACTCTGATAAGTTAAGGCTGCCCGGCCTTGACAGCACAGAATCAGGCCCAGGAAAGGGGCTTCCCCACAGCTTTGTTCCAAGTCCTGATTTAGAAAATTCCTTTTTAGAACTTGTCGCTTAATTGTCTGACACAGATACATTTATGTGTGAATGCACAATCTGGCTGCAATAAACCAAAACTACCAGCTGTATGCATTTATGCCTGAGGTGGGCCAACAGACGGCTGCTGTCTCCCTCAGGTATGAAAGGAATGGAGGTCAAGAGCAGGGACTCCAGAGCCCAGCTGCCTGGAGTGTAATCGCCAGCATGTGCTAAGACACATGACTTCTCTGTTCTTACATGGCTTCCTCTATAAAATGGGGACAATAAGAGTGTCACCCACCTCATGGGATTCTTGTAAGGATTAAACGAGTTACATGAATCCTCAGTGAATGTTAGCTTTTTAAAAAGTCACATTGTTCCTTAAGAAACCACAAGAAGCCACTAGTTAAAAGCTTGAACACCTCTCCACACACAAAGCTAGTGGCCAAATACCTGAAAGTGACAAAAGATGTTCTATTAATGTGTAGCCCTTTCCCTATCAAATAAAAATCACAAGGAAATTAAAATCAGATATGCCCTACTTTACACAATGTTTACAGAACCTTTCAGGTAACTTAAAAAAGTTTTGAAAACTTTTAGGTAATATTAAACATAAAGAACTTGGAACTTTGCATGTAAACTGTTTTATGAAATAATTCTGGGGTAAATATTTA